AGTAGCTGGGATTACAGGCATGTGCCACCATGCCCAGCTAATGTTTTGTATTTTTAGTAGAGACGGGGTTTCACCATGTTGACCAGGATGGTCTCGATCTCTTGGCCTTGTGATCCACCCGCCTCGGCCTCCCAAAGTGCTGGGATTACAGGCTTGAGCTACCGCGCCCGGCCTCTCTAAGTTTTTAAATGTAGACATCTATGAAGTTCTAAAGTCTGGGAACAGCAAAGGTAGAATTGTTCTAGGATACTATGTAGAGGAAGCAAGTCTTTAGCAAAGCATTTAAGATAAGAAGGATTTTGGTAGTTGAAAATTTGCTAAAAAATTTTGCTAGAAGGGGGCACACTGTAGGAGAACAGAGGCATAAAAATAAAAACACATATGGTTTATGTTCAAAGGACTAGCCTGTGACCTCCCTGGAGTGTGTACAGTTATGATGGAAAATAAACTGTCAGGATGAACTAGAATGAAGGCTTCAGGCTTAAATCAGTAGATGAAAGGGTGCCATTACAAGTGACTGAGGAGAGAAGCGACAAGTTCCTGACATTAGTAGGCATTTAATAAATATTGGATGAATGAAAGGAATGAGTGGCATGAACAATGGCGTGGTCTCCAGGGCAGATAAGAATGCAAGCTATAATGAAAGGGAAATAAAAGACAAGAAGGCTGATAGGAAACTAGATTTTAATGAAAGAGAAAAATAACCAAATATTTACTAATGAATTCGAAGGGAAAAATTGTTGCCTGATGACTGTACCCTCATACAGAATAAACTTTGAATCAAACAGGAAAGCCATTTGGATGGTAATGGCTTGTATGTGAAGATGGCTTCTGAGTCCTTTGATCTGAGACTGGGGTTTATACATTTCTTTGCTGGGTTAGGGGTCACTTTGAAGGGTTTGCATTTCTCAGTGATGGAAGTTTAATTTATTACGCAAAGTTGGTTATTGAAGTCAAGAAAGGTGCAACAGAGTACCCACGCACTAAATACAGGTGTGGAAACAGCACGCCTCATAACCAAGACCATTTATGTCAGCCTTCTGCTAATTTCCCATGAATGCAAATGCCAATCTTCTGGTTTTTGTCACTAGTAAGTTTTTGCTAGTTAGATAATTTTCATTTCTCTGTACTTTAAATATTAGTGAACATAAGTGCTTGTACTATTTTTATAGAATCCTAGAACAATATTTGGCACATAGGTCTATAATATTTGTTGAATGGATGGATGGATGGATATAATCCAGGCAAGATGGCACTATGGTGTTGCAAAAAACGGAGGGAGGCAGCAGTATCACCGACACTCCACCAGCATTATTGCTACCATTATTGCCTACCCTTTCTGGAACATTTACCTGCCATGCACGTATTTGTAAGTGTTTCAGTGCTTTTTCTCCCTATGTCTTTACAAGATTTATGACCATGATGTACATAGTATTACTGACCCCATATTCTAGACGAGGAAACAAAAACATAAGGCAGTTAAATAACTTGCTTAACAATCACAGTTAGTCGTAAGTAGAGCCAGGATTTAAATCCTCCTGGAAGAATCTGAGCTCTTCACCGCTAAGCGGGCTTCCTCTGTCCTTGTACCCACTCCATGGCTCTAGGAAATTGGATAGTAAAGAGAGAGGGAGACATAGCTGAGGTTCAAGCTAAAACTGGGAAACTTGTCATCTTCCCTGGGGGCAGATTTTTAAAAATTGCTTGCAGACCTGAATGGATGTCCCAGGAGTGAATGGAAGGAGGTCCCCAATGTTATCTGTGCTGATATATTGGTTTCCTCTGGGGAAGGCAGATCCCTTCCAACTATTGAAGATAATATTTCAGCACATTTTTAAAAACTTTTTCTTCACTTTCACTTCTCACAGATGCTGTTATTCTTGGGTGTCTTTTGCCTAAGAGAAATACTGTCTAAAACTGCACCAGATGATACAGTAACAGTTTCTCCATTTTAAACCATTATTCCAGAAATTCCCCATGTTTTGTAAAATAGGAGCAACACTCACTAGTTAAAGGCATAACTTTCTGTGCAAGGCTGTGAAGAAATGATGATGAACTGGGCTAAAGTACAAACAAAAAGAAGATTCAAAATCTATAGGATGAAAGATGTGTTTATTTCCAGAAATGTCTTTCAGAGATTTTTTTTTTTTAAGACCAAATCACACAATTTGCAGCTGGTTTTAAAAATATACAGTATTTGCAAATGCTTTATAGCAGACACCTGCAATGTTTTCTATTTGTTTTAATTATAACAGAGGCAAACTGAAAGGGGGAGAAGAGGGGGAGCAGACACAGTGGAGGGAAATTGGGAAAGAGGGAAGAGAAGCCCATGCCAGCAGCTAAGTGATAGGTAATAAAACTCCAGCACTTCCCGTATCTTTCTCCATATCAATCTCCAAGAGATTGCTTTAGAAATTGACCACCTGCCAGCTATTCAGAGGCTTAAATGCCGTAGTCTAGGTTCACTTCATGCATAGGCACTTTATACAGTCTCCAGCTCAGCCGTCTCGTTCTTCACTGAATTGCAGGGGAGAAATGGTAATTTGCTGGAGTAGAAATGCACTCTTCAGAAACTTGGTTTGTGCCTGCAGTCTGCATTGCCCTTCCTTCCCCTTTTGAACATCATGATGCAAATCCCTCCATCCAGTTCAAATGACCATGCAGAAGGGTGTCTGCCTACGAGGACTCCTGCAGCACTCCCAGGTGCCCTGCTCATTTGTCTCTTAACAGTGTCCTCGGACACATAGTTTTGTATTGTATTTTTATATCACAGCCTTGTAACGGTAGCTCAAGAGTGTCATAGTGTGTGAGGCTGCTCCACATTGCTTTAGGTGACATTCAGTTTGAGACTGAGTACGTTTTTTTTCCTAATGCATCATGGAACTTACAAGGTGCCCATAAAACCTGGAAACTGAAATGAAATATACATAATGTCATCCAGCATACATATCATCATAAAAAATTATTATATTTATTTAATATTATCTATGTATGCATAGGATTGAACAAGCTCTTAGCTGGGGCTTAGGGGAGAAAACAGTGAACCCAGAAGTCCACAGCTTAACTACTCTTTGCCATTTTCTCATATTTGAAATGCATGGTATATCCTACAAAATAAGCTCCCACCCATTTGCCCAACAAGACTTGTGCAAGTCTCTGATGCATTGGTTATAATAGTGAAAACAAAGGAAAACCTATGAAATAGGTGGATATCCATCAGGATAAAGAAATAGTGGCATAGTCATACAGGAGAATATTTTATAGAAGTTATAACTGAAAAAAATAATAAAATACTAAACAACATCCATAAATTGATTAATAACAGAGATATATGTCAATCTGGATTAATCTCAAAAGCAGGTCCAGCAAAAGAAAAAAGTCAAGTATTTTTTTCTTTACGTAGGATATATGTAAGAAGATACCATTGTATAGCATTTGTATAAAGCTTAAACACAGACAAAACAATATAGTATTTATGGATGAGTATATATATATACTAAAAATATTTTTAACACAAGTTCATTAATGGTTGACACCAAATTCAGATTTGTGGTCACCTCTTTGATAAAGGAGGGAGAATGAACTCTAGGGAAAATGCTCAGGAGGTTTCATTTGTCTTTGTAAAATTTTCTCTCTTAAGCTGAATGTTTGTTATATTAGTCTCGACTTCTTTTGCATACATAATTTGTTTCATAAATTAAAAACGAACACATCGTTTCCCT